GGAAAGCCACCTTACCCATATCCATGTAACCACTGACATCCTGAGAAGCCAGCTCCTGAAAGAACAGATGTGGTCTCCTGTGAACCTGGGCGTCTACCTCCAAGAAGCCCCATTTCCCTTTCACAATCCTGCGGGCCAGGTTCTCTTAGCTAGGCACTCATCTTCCTATTTATCGCCTAGGCATCACCATGGCTTAGTCCACTGTGTGTGGAGCACCCCTTGCGCCCCCATCATCAGGCTCAAGCAGCAGCACCTGTAAGGAGCCAGCACCCAGTTTCTGGCGCCTCTGCCGTTCCTCCAGGCGCTGCCTTAGTGGAATGAGCACCAGCTCCACTACACCTGGAGAACACTGCGCAATCTTCCGCATCACGTCGTCGGGGACAGAGAAGTTCAGCTTGTTCAGCACCTTTCTACGGAGTGGATACAAGAAGGGTGAGTGGGTCCTGGGAAAATGAATGGAGTGCAATAGTAAAGGAGTGGACATAGCCCCAGGGGACTGGAAGGGCAGACTCCTGAACCTCCTTGCTTGATTGTTCCAATTTCCCTTGAGTGTTTCCATCCCAATAAAATAATTATTTGATTTTATTACTAAATGGATTCTGTGTCTCCCACTCCCCCCAGCTGTCTCAGTCTGCCTGTCAAGACCACAGGAGGTTTTTTGTTGTTGTTTTGCATTGCTAGGGACCAATCCAGGAGTGGGTGTGAGTGTGGGTGTGTGGGTGTGTACATGCAGGCTCACTCACGCGTGCGCATGCGTGCTAGTAAAAACACATCTCCAGGCAAGGTCATAGAAAGTTGAGTTGAGGCTGAAGCAATCCCTCTTGAGAAGCAGGCAGGGGCTGCAGAGTTTACTTCTGCACCCAGGGATTCTACTACCTGTTCAGGTGACCCCAGTTGCTGAGCTTCTGCTGGAGAGAGTTAGCAGGGACATAATTGTGCATCTCCACCATCTTGGGGAAGTAAAACTTGATAAGCTCTGCAACCAGGACTGAGGGAGTAGGATTGGGAACAGATAGGAAAAACAAGAGCATGGGCCAGGGAGAAGGAAGGGATGGAGATACAGAAGAAGGGAAGGTGGGCAGAAAGGAGACAAAGAAAGCAAGATCAATAATTAAATCAAGATCCTACATTTCTCAGAGAAAAAAGCATCTTCCTTATTAGATCAGGACACAGAAAAACAGACTCCAAGAGGGCCCTACAGGAGGCTGCAGCCTTGTACTGGGAATTCAAAAGGACACACACACACTGTGTGAATCTCAGGAGAATCACAGATTTATACAAGCAGAAAAACAAGATCCTTCTATTGTGCTGGGAATATAGCACAGTTGGTAGCACACTTGTATAACATGTATAAAGTGCTGCTCTCAACCCCCAGCACCATATAAGCAGGCTGTGGTAGCACATGCCTGTAATCCCACCACATAGAAGGCAGGAAAATAGTGAGTTATGGGCTACTTTGCTACCCTGTGAATCAAAAATGTCCCTCTACAGTGTGTATATAGGCCAGAATGTATAGATGCACAGAATAAATGCCAGACACACATGGTGCATACATAGAATACACACAAGCACAGAAGTCACATATACATGTAGTTTCCTCAATTATACACATAGAAACAAAGACATCCTGGCTACAGAACTATGCATTTCTTAAATACAGGAGCCTTTTCTGAAAAAAACAAACACACTATACATATGTACAAAAAAAACCAAACAAACCATACATACATTCAGGACAGAACATGTCAACACAAAAGAGCACGGGGTGGGGATGTCACTCAGTTGGTGGCATGCTTGCATAGCATTCACAGTGCCCTAGCACCACATTAAAAACAAACAGGAAAGGTAGTGCATGCTTATAATCACAAAATCTGGGAGCTAGACACAGCATTGTAGTAGAGGCAGGAGTCCAAGACTCTATCGCGCGCGCACACACACACACACACACACACACACACACACACTACAAGACAGACTGTAGAACACAGAAATATGAGCAAGCATAGGTTCACCAATACATACCCAGACACACAGCTTAGTTCTTAACACCCCTGAACTGAGACACAGACACTATGTACACAAGGTATCATGGACATACATTGTTCACTCACGAATAGAAGAAACATGCAAGTGCCCACTTCCACTATCAAGTCCCAAAAACACAGATCCCACCCCTGCTCCCACTCTACATGCAGACATAACAAAAACTATAGCATACACACAAATCTATTACACATACATAAAGATAGAACATTGTAAAACACAACTACACACACCTCCGTCACTGAAGTCCCGGGAGAGGTTTCTCTTGGGTCTGGACAGAGGGATGTTGTCTACCCACAGGTACAGCTGGTGCAGAGCCTCCTCATCCACGCTGCTTGCCATTGGCTTCTGGGCAAGGCCTCAGTGTTCCCCACAGAGCCCAACGCTAGCCCCAGGACCCTTCAAGTGCCTCCTCTCGCCACTGCGAGCGTTCAGATCTATGTTTCCTTTCCTACTCGGCACAGACTCAAATCCCATCTGGGAGCAGCCATATTGTTTTCTGAAACCATAGCAACCGTCGCTACTTGCCTGGAAACAGAGACTTCTGGGAGTTGTAGTTTTTCCATATCTTTCCCCTGGGTCCCAGCTCTGAAAGGGCAGTTATCTGTACTTATCTTCCTTTCTCCCCAAGAAGGCATCACCTGCCTGCCCACATCACTTGCTGATCAATCACTGCCCAATCTGGGCTTTGCCAAAACCAGCTATGTCCCCAGAAACCATTCCCCTTCTGTGCCATTTGTCAGTCCTAAAGGAAGCAGCATCTCCACGCATATTAGCATTTAGGGAGGCGGGCACTCTGTTAGTCTGATACCTACTGATGCTGTGTGACAAGTTGTCTATTTTTAAATTAGTATTTTATTTTTGTATGTGTATGTGTGTTTTACCTGTATGTATACCTGTGTACCACATGCGTTCCTGGTGCCTGCAGAGGGCAGGTGAAACTAGAGTTAAGATGGTTGTGAGCCACTATGTAGGTGCTGGGGATCAAACCTGGGTCCTTTGGAAGCACAGTCAGTGCTTCCTCACTAGCTCCCTCCAAAGCTCTGTAGACCTAGGGTCACTGCCATTTCCTCATCCCAATGTACCCTACTGGGGCATTTAATATGTAACCCAGATTCCCAGAGAGAGCAGTGTAAGGCCATTTTCTTGGGCAAGGTCATTTAATCCCTTAACCCTATTTCCTTCTTTGTAAAATAGAAAGTTTTCATCTACTTGTCCCAATAATTTATTTTGAAAGAAATTTACAAAATGGGAAAAAGTCTAAGAGGCCTGCACCTGTATGGGGATTAGGGACTGAAAATCCACAATACACACGAAAGCTAGAGTTTTGGCAGACACTGTCACATCCCTTATCGTTCACAGGAGGGATATTCTACGATGGGCTAGAAACTGGTTTCTGCAACCAGGAGGGGTAGGAACACAGGGCCCTCTGTAATGAAGGCTACGAAGTACTGAAGGGAAACTTCCAGAGCCTGCCTGAGGAGAAAGTTCGCTTCCGGCAGCCTAATGTAGCTCTGGGCACATTACTGAACCTCTTCTGCCTGTTTATCGTGGGTTTTGTTACCTCATAAGGGCATCTGAGTGTTTGACACCTAGCATAAAGAAAGGCCCTATTGGCATCAGATTGTGTTAAATCCTGGGACCAGTAAGAGGTTCTTATTGGCAGGAGGCAGAGTGAAGTGATTTGTCTTGGTACTGGAATAAAGATAATGTCTGTCCATGGGGCATCTAGAGAAAATACCCCTGCTCCCTCCCACTTACTACTTAGAGCAGGCCCATTGGGTAGGCTAGGCTTTCTGGTCTCTTCCTCCAAAGTTCCATTTAGAGGAAGGGCTGATGCCAAACGGAATCCCAACTTCTTTGCTCGATTTCCTTTCCAAACACTCGGGGGGAAGTGTAGCTCAGCAGTGAGGCTCTTGCCTAGGTTAATCTAGACCCTGGGTTCATCCCTATCCAGTACAAATACAAGCAAAATTTGCATTAAAGAAACAAAACTTAATTTTCAAGGCTTGGAGATAATCCCCTAGTGTCGGAAATACAAAAGAGCCAAACGTTTATGGACAGCCTTTTTGGAAGGAACCATACCAGGGCAAACAAGGCACAAAGGACGATTTGGATATCCCCCACCCCCTTACATTCCAGAGTGGGGAGAACCTGGTGGCTGGGGTATGTTAGGGATTGGGAAATTACCAGAGGTAATACGCCAGCCCTAAGTAAGGTGGGAAAACCGGTTTGGGACTCAGAGTTACCTGTACCGCTCAGGTCTTTCCTTGACTGGAACCTGTGAGCCCTAGTAAGGGAGAGCCATGAAGGGAGGGGCCGGGCTCTGAAAGGACATGCCCTCACCTTTGGACTGGAGTGGGGGAGTGGCCCTGCACAGTGAGCTACCAATTCACGGGGGTGCCATGTTTCCTAGTAACTTCACCTTCCTCCTGTCATGGCCTCAAAGGTGATTTAACAGATGTGAAAATGCCAATCACTTGAACAGCCTGAAGAACTCCCTCTTAAAGTAAAAAGAGGGTTCCTTGCATGCCCCTCCAACTCTAACCTGGCCCATAGCAGAACCAAAGCTTTTCTCATTTCTGCTCAACCCCTGCGAAGACCTTCCTTAACTAGCTTTGGTGGGCTCAGTCTTCAGGGGTATACTGCCTGATCCCCTAACAGACCACTGGCTCCCTCTCTACTGCCCCACTCCAGTGACCAAAGCTTCTCACTACCATCAAAGGAGGTTAAGGTTAGGGTTCCTGCAGTCTATCAAGAGATGCGTCACTAAAGGCCCACCCTCCCCAGAGTTCTCTAACATTTAGATGTGGGTGTCACTGCCTGCCCCTCACCCCAGTCGTGGTCATCTGCTCAAACCCTGCTTTCATGTCCCACTACAAGAACCAAGGGGAACCTGGAAAGGATGTGTCCCCAAGACAGACGCAAGCCCAGACCATGAAGGATGCATCCATGGCTGTTAAAACATTGACTCCCACAAAAGGGGAGTAGACAGATTTATTGAATTCAAACTGGGAAGGGAGCACCTGGACGGCTGGACTCTGGGCCCAGCCCCAGGCCCCTCTGCCCAGGATGGGGGCCTGCAGAGGTTGAGGCACAAGGCCTGCAGCTGCCCAGATTGGAGGTGCCTGTTGTCACTCCCCAAGAGGGCCTCTTGGAAACCTCCAATCTGGAAAGAAAACCAAGGGCCAAAGACTGGGCCAGAGCAAGGGATTTAGGGAGGTGGAAAGCAGGCAGGAGGCAGGCTCAGGAGCCTGCCCTACGTTACACTGTGCTTCTTTAGGCAGCCTAGAGGTGCAGGAAGGGGGGATGCTAGTTTTGTGGGAACCTAGGCTGGACCTTTCTCTGGAGCCCTTTCCAGAATGGCTTTGGGATCCCCCCCACCAAAGACCTGTTTGGGTGGCAAGGGGAGAGGCACTCTCTGGCCAAGAGCTTCCAGCACTTGTCCCTGGCTGCTGCTATGGTCTAGCCCACTGGTGGCATGACGTGGTAGCACCGGACAGCTTCCCACCCAACCAGTGCCCTGAGCCCAGGAACTAATGGGGAGGAAAGAGGAATCTGAGAAGGAGGCAATAGCAGTGAGGCAGACCTCAGCCCCTGGGCCTGTCTCGGGGCCGGGCGAAGCATTACTGAAGGCCCTGCAACTCCTCCAGCCATCTCCAGCAGCTGCCCAGAGTTCTCTGCCTTGGGCAGATACTGTCCATCTGGGCTGGAGCGCAGCTATGTCCCGCAGATCAGCTTTGATGTCCAAGACCCCGAACTCCCGCCTGCCTGGCATGGTTCTTCCTAGTCACGTGGACCAGATCATGTTCCAAGTGAAGAATGTGGCTCTGCACGCGGTCATCAATGGGAAAGGAGGTCAGGTACCGTTTGACCATGGCAAAGTAGGCCATGGCCTCCCCAAAGCTGGGTACAGGGACCTCATCGCCATCATCATCATCATCCTCGTCTTCATCGTCTTCCTCATCCTCCTCTTCATCTTCCTCCTCCTCATCACTGTCTGAGTCCGAGTCCTCCCCACCTTCCAGAAAATGGAGGGTGGGGCACTGGGCCTCTTCCTGGACACTGTAACCCCCAAAGCCACCACTGGCCTCCACTACTCCCTGGGCCCAGTCTTCAGTCTCTAAACCCTCAGAGGAGCTTTCTTCCTCCTCTTCCTCCTCCTCCTCTTCATCACTGTCATCAACCTCACCCTCCTCTTCCACCTCTTCTTCCTCTCCCACCTCCTCTCCTTCCCCACCTTCTTCCTCCTCCCCTTCTTCTTCCTCTTCTTCCTCCTCCTCTTCCCCTTCACCCTCCTCTTCTTCTTCTTCTTCTTCTTCCTCCTCCTCCTCTTCCTCCTCCTCTTCTCCCTCACTCTTGAAGGAAGTGGTGATAGTGGCATTAAGGCCACCTCCAAAACCGGCCTCCCGAAAGCAAGTTGCTATGTCCGAGGGCTCCACCGCTTGCCAGGCTGCAGCCACAAAGTGTAAGGCCTCCACCAGGCCCAGCTGGAGGCCTGAGGGATCCTGGCCCTCGAGTGCTGCCATGGCCTTGAGCAACATAGCCTGGCGGTAGTGGCCTTTCACCTGTTGGACCACTCCTCGCTCCAATGGATGCACAGTGCCGGGAGGGAAGAAGGCCAGCTGCACGTGCCGCAGGCCCGAGGTGTCCAAGGACTGGGCAGCCAGACGGCCAGCCAGCAAAAGGACCCGACGAGATTCTGCAGCCATTCGGGTGTCCAGTGCTTTCAAGTACTTAGCTAGGGCCTGGGTAGTGACTCCACCCTTAGAGTTGGCAGTGTAGTCACAGGGCAGACCACCTTGGCCTGCACGGGGCTTGGCGGACTTGCCTGCGACCAGCGGGGGAAGCTTTTCGCTGCCATCAGCGTTGGCGCACAGCAAAACACTAAGGCGCTGGGTGGCCTGGCGAGCCGTTCCATCACCTCCCCACAGCCCCGAGGCCTGGTCGGACAGAAAGTCGTACCACAGGCTGGTCTCGGTGGCGCTGAACACATCCTGCGAGGCGTAGCCCTCAGCCACCGACGGCGGCTGTTCCTCCCGCGTGCGCCAGCCTGGTGTACTCCCACCGCTGCCCTCGGAGGGCACCGCGGCTGGGCCGGCAGGTGCCGCTGGGGCCCGGGGGGTAGAGCTTCGCGCCCGGGAGCGGGTCACGCCGCTGCAGGCCACTACACCGTGGCGCCGGCGGAAGCGATCCAGCCAGCCGTTGGAAGCCGTGAAGTCGTCCATGCCCAGCTCCTCCGCTATCCGTAGCGCCTTCTCTTTCAGGATGATGCCCTTGACCGGCAGGCCCGCGGCGCGGATCTGCTGGAACCAAGCAATGAGGAGCCCCTCCAGCTTGTCGTACGGGGACAGCTTGTTGGTCTTGCGGCAGGTGGAGGCCACTCCGTACTTGCGCTCCGACGCCAGGATGGCGCGCTTGTTCTTCAGGATGGTGCTCAGCGTGGACGGCGGGATGTTGAAGCGCCGCGCGATCTCGCCCTTGCGTAGGTCCGGGTTCTCCTCTACCTCCTGGATGATCCGCGACTTCTCCCGGAACGTCAGCTGCCGCCGCTTGGGGCCCATCCCGGCGCGCCCTCCGCCCCGGGGCCCGGCACCGCCGTCGCCGCCCCGGGGCGGGGGGCCCGGGCCCGCGGCGGGGGGCACCTGGCGGCCTCTCCGTGCGCCCCGCCCGAGACAAAGCGGCTCGCGAGGCGGCGGCGGGCGGTGGCAAGCGGCGCGGGCGGCGCGGGCGGCAGGACGTGCCCAGCGGGGAGCGCGGCGCGGCGCAGGGCGGAGCGCGCGCGGGATCTCGCGGGAAGCGCGGGACGCTGGGCGCCGCCTCCCCTACCCCGTGCTGCTGCCCGGACCCGCCGCCGGGGGCGCTGAGGTCCGGACCGTGAGCCTCGGCCACGCGCGGGGAAAGGTCATCTGCAGAGACAAAATGCCAGACACCTGGACTGATGCTCAAGGACGTTTTGATGCTCTCGCTTCTGCTCTTCCCTGAAGACAGGGCCAGCTGGCGTCAGGCTGCTTAGACTGCATTTTAACTGGCTGGCGTCAAGCGGTTAAGTTTTCAGTGGGTGAAATACCACTGCCAATATGCTTCTTTTTGGGTTAATTGTCTTTATGCATGTGTATGTCTGATTGTGTGTGTGCACACCTGCATGCAGATGCCCGAGCGGAACAGAAGAGGGCGTCGAACAAGAGTGAGATTACAGGTGGTTTGTGAGTTGCAATGTGGCTACTGGGATCCAAACTCTGATTCTCCACCAAAGCAGCTAATTGCTCTTAAGTGCTGGACCTTCCCCCAGATATGCACTTTAATCATGTGTATTGTTCCAAATATGAGAGAGCCAGTTGATGGGTACACATTTAGGTTATTGTAAAGACAACACGGCATTTAAATCCATTTGATGGTGCTAAAGACGTTTTAAACTTCTTGTAAACCACAGTCCAAAAACACTAATAACATCTGGGTATCATTGGTTTTTTTTCATACAGTTAGCTGTAGATTCAACTACAGAAATACATATGTGTATATGCATATGTACAAATAAATCTTAAAACTTCCTGCAGCACCAAACACATGAAAGTGATGAGTCCTTAAGACAGTGTGTACATTATAGTTTTTTTTTGCTCGCTTGTTTGTTTCTGAGCAGAGTCTCACTATGTAACCCTGGCTGACTTGGAACTCTGTGCAGATCAGGTGAGTCTTGAACTTGTGGAGATTCACCTGCTTTTGATTCCTCAATGTTGAAAATGAAGGCTTGTGCCACATCACATCAGACAACCCAAGAAACACACACACACACACACACACACACACACAGCCCTACAAAACAAAAAATAAACAAGCAAAATACCGGTAAGACAAAAAAAAAAAAAAGCCCAACAAAGCAAAATGAGACGAAAAGCCTACAAAAGTACCATTGAGTTCATTTTGTTTTGACCAACTACTCCTGGGCACGGGGTTTGTCTGGGAGTGTGATTGATATACCCAGTGACACTTCACTGAAGTAAACTGATTTTCCCTTTGCCAGTGGGGATCAGTTGCAGATGGCTTCTTGGTTTGGGTGAGACATGTATCCGTTTTCCCCTCTCAGTGCTGGGACCTGGTCTGGCTTGAATTTGTGCCTGCCCTGTGCATGCGGCCACAGTCTCTGTGAGTTCATACGGGCATCAGTTCTGCTGTGTCTGGAGACACTGTTTCCTTGGAATCATCCATCACCTCTGGCTCTTACAATCTCTTCACCTCTTCTTCTGCATAGATCCTTGAGCCCTTAGGGGTGGTTTTTGATGGAGACATGATAAGTGAAGTTATCATGTTTTTAAAAGTCTTGAAGATCAGCATCCCAGAATGTCAGGCTGAGGAGCTGGGGCTAGATGAAGCTTCAGGTTGAGAAGCAAAGAGAACCAAGGACAGCGGCCTGGGAGCTTCCAGGTTAAGGGCTCTAGAAATTACCAACAAGACACTCATGAGGAGCTGATAAAGACAAAGTCGGAAATCAAGTCTGTGGTGTTCTACAAGGTCAGGGAAGACTGTAAGTCTCTGCTCTTTTAATACATGTTTGTCTTTCCATGTGTACACTGGATTCTGAGAGTCTCAGCCTTTGCCCATATTTCTCACTCTGGTCTTTTCCCCTCTGTGTGTGACGGTAAGAATCAGACTTCGGGCCTCATGCATACCAATCACATGCTTCACCCCAACTTTATTTTCCTGATGTTTAAGAAATCTACAAGGTAAATATGGAGCCACACGCCAAGGACACCATCCTATGCGTCTTCAGGGAACGTTGCTTACATTTTGGAGTTTTCGTACATTTGTACATATGGCCCCCTGCCTCCTCATATATGTTGACTTATAATCAGTGGATGTTTGGTGACTGGGCTGTGGACAGAGCTTTTCTCCTATGTTGTTGAATTTTCCAAGTCGCTTTGCCTGCCTACCTGCCTTCTTCCTTTACTTTCTCTTTCTTTGTTTTCTTTTACAGAATTGAGAACCGAACCCAAGGCCTTACACATGCTAGACAAGCATTCTACCTCTAAATGCCAGCCCCTTTATTCTTAACTATTTGAGATTGAATCTAAGTTGCCCAGGCTGGCCTTGAACTTGTGTTCCTCCTGCCTCAGTGTCGAGAGTACTTGAGATTACAGATATGTACCACCATGCTTAGCCACGTTTTCTTTTATAAGAAGTGTTACTCTTGGGGCTGGAACAATGGCTCAGTCGCTAAGAACATTTGTTCTTCCCAAAGACCCAGGTCCAATTCCCAGCACACACATGTCAGTTAACAACTGTCTTTAACTAGTTCCAGGTCCAACGCCTTTTTCTGGTCCCTGTAGGCCCATGTGGTACACAGACATACATACAGTCAAAACATCCATATACATAAAATAAAATTAAAAAAAATACTACCCTTTAAAATGAAAAAGAGAGCCAAGCATGGTGGTGGAGGCCTGTAATCTCAGCTGGGAAGCAGAAGCAGCTGGATCAGGAATGTGAGGCCATACAGCTACACAGCAAGTCTGAGACCCACCTAGGCTACACAAATCCTAGCATTCAAAAAAAGAAAAGCATTCCAGATGTAGTGATGTACGCCTTTAAACCCAGCACTTGAGAGACAGAGGCAGGTGCATCTCTGTGAGTTCAAGGATAGTCAGAGCTCCACAGTGAAACCTGTCTCAAAAAAAAAAAAACACACATGCATATTTGCATATTTACTTACACACATACATATTAAAAAGGAAAAGGAAAGGAGAATGAAAAGCTTGCCGATTGACATGAAGGATGGGTAAAATAAGCATAATGGGTGTGAACCCTGTTCAGCAACTCCAGGTAGCCTGGACCAACTGCAGAGCAGGTGGACTGTCCCGGAGTGGCTGTGTAAGTACCAGTCTGTGTGACACCAAGGAGGGCCCTGAAAGGGGGTAGAATAGATGATATTAGTGGGATGGAAGATATCTAGACATGGGGTTATCACTAGACTTTCAAAGAACCCAGACCTGAGAGTCCTAAAAGGAATGTTCAATTTGCCTGTGGTCTCTCAGATATCAAAGCTTTATGATGTAGTTCATAGTCTGTAACTGTACAATTCACCCAGAGTATACAGCTTACAGATATGTGCAGCTACCAGTGAAAGTCAATTATATTTTATTTTTTTAATATTTATTTATTTATTATGTATACAATATTCTGTCTGTGTGTGTGTCTGCAAGCCAGAAGAGGGCGCCAGATCTCATTACAGATGGTTGTGAGCCACCATGTGGTTGCTGGGAATTGAACTCAGAACCTTTGGAAGAGCAGGCAATGCTCTTAACCGCTGAGCCATCTCTCCAGCCCCAGCAAGTCAATTTTAGAATGTTTTCCTCACCTTAAACGAAGGTTAGCACATGCCTTTAATCCCAGCACTCGAGAAGCAGAGGCAGGCAGATCTCTGTGAGTTCCAGGCCAGTCTGGTCTACAGAGTGAGTTCCAGGACAGGCTCCAAAGCTACAGAGAAACCCCTGTCTTGAAAAACAAAAAACAAAAGGTGAGGAAGCCAGGCGGTGGTGACGCAGGTATGCAAGTATTTAATCCGATCACTTGGGAGGCAAAGGCAGGTGGACCTCTGTTAGTTCAAGGCCAGCAGCCTGGTCTAAGAGTGAGTTCAAGACAGCCAGGGTAGTTACACAAACCCCGTCTCGAAAAACAAACAAAGAAGTGAGGAAACATCTCCCCCCTCAGGACTGTAACCTACTGTGGTTGTTCATCTGCATCACACGTGGGTAATAATTTGACCTTATGCCTGATCTCTTTTTCTTTTACAAATGGTATTTTGTTTATCCACTCATCAGTTGATGGATGTGTGGGTTGTTTCTACCTTTTTGGCTATGATTAATACTGCTATAAACATTTGTTTGCAAAGTTTTGGGCAGCCATGTTTTCGTTACTCTTGGGTACATACCTAGCATAGGACCACTAGGCCATATAGTAACTTTATTTAATCATCTGAGAAACTGCTATATTGAAAACATATGCTTAAGGGCTGGGAATGTAGATCAGTAGGAAGAAGGCTTACCCAGCATGCATTGTAGCCCTGCATTTTATTCTCAGGTCACCAAAAACCAGAAGTGTGGCACAAGCCTATAATCCCAGCACTCTGGAGGCAGGAGGATCAGAAGTTCAAGGTCTTGCCGGGCGGTGGTGGCGCACGCCTTTAATCCCAGCACTTGGGAGGCAGAGGCAGGCGGATCTCTGTGAGTTCGAGACCAGCCTGGTCTACAAGAGCTAGTTCCAGGACAGGCTCCAAAAAACCACAGAGAAACCCTGTCTCGAAAAACCAAAAAAAAAAAAAAAGAAGAAGTTCAAGGTCTTCCTCAACTACAGTGAGTCTGAAGTCAGCCTTGGCTATGTGTGGCCCTGCCTCAAAAAAAAAAAAAAAAACCCTGTATTTCTAATTAGAAATTGAAAATTGAAAAATTCAATTAGAAATTGAAAAATTATACAGATTCTTCTGAGTCTTTTAAAATACCAAAATTCTTTGCAGGATAAAAATGTATAATGCTACCACTGAAAAAATTTCTCTCTCTCTCTCTCTCTTTTTTTTTTTTTTTTTTTTTTTGTTGAGACAGGATGCTGGCCTTGAAGTAGGTATGTAGTTGAGGATGATTTTAAACTCCTGGTCTTTCTGCCTCCACCTCCCAAGTGTTAGGATTATATGTGTGATCTATTCTTTGTGATAATCAAAGAATATTTTTGTAGGCATTTTCCCATACATATTTTGTTGCTGCTGGTCAGGT